TGTGAGACTTTTCCAAACTTGTTGAAAGATGCTGACTCTCAGATTAAAAACCCCAACAAACCCTAAGCAATGTAAGTATATATACAGACCTAGCTGTAAGAGATAGCAGATAAGTAAGCTATAAAAGACACTTGAAGTGACAGTGTACTCAGAGAGAAGTGATACGTAAAAAGCAAAATTCTTAATGTCAACAGTGGAAACCATAAGACAGTAAGATTCATCTCAAAGTGCTAATTAAATAACCAAAAATTCTGTACCAAGTGAAACAAGAACATGCCAAACTTGAGAGTTTACCACCCAATGACCATCACTAAACGGATCCTGAAAGATTTAATTCAAATAGAAGGAAAATGACCTCAGGTGCATGGTCTGAGCTATGAGGAGAAATAGTGAACCAAGATAACTATGTGACAATCTAAACAAATAAATGACTATATATGAAACAAAGATAATCCATAGGGAAATTAAGCAGGCTAGATTTAAAATGCCAAATTACAACCACTCAGAAATTGGGAGAAGAGATTGGAGAATAAGGTTTTGCAAGGTCCTTGTATTTTCTGGGAGAAGGCTATGGCTACTGAGTGCCTGTCGTGTTGTCAAATACGAATTAAATAGAACAAACACTAATAGAATAGACCCACTGTATACCTTCGAAAGAAGTACAAAGAGAAGACTCTACCAAGGAAAACAAACCAGTCCAAAGGAAGGCAAGAAAAGAGGAACAAGAATGACAGGAACAGGTGAAATGGAATGAGTCAAAAGTCCAAACTGTGATGTTAGAAATAAAACCAAATTGCTCATCACATTAAGAGTAAGTGGACTAGGGGTGCCTGGGTGACTCAGTTGGTTAAGCATCCAACTCTTGATCTCGGCTCAGGTTGTCATCTCACAGTCTGCAGGATCAAGCTCTGCAGCAAGCTCTGCTCTGATAGCACAGAGCCTGCTTGGGATTCTCTCTCTCTCTCTCTCTCTCTCTCTCTCTCTCTCTCTCTCTCTCTCTCTCTCTCCTCTCCCTCTCTCTCTCTGCCCTCCCTGCCTCTTTCTCTCTCTTTCTCTGCCCCTCCTCAAAATAAATAAATGAACTTGAAAAAGAGTATGGACTAAATTCTTCTGTTAAGGCCTTAATTTTTAAAACACCATATTTTAAAAACAAAATAAATTTCTGCTACATATTCTTTACAAAAGACACACATAAAGTACACAGAAAAAAAAAAAAAAGCCAAATGATGGAAGATATGCCAGGCAGCTAGTAAACAAAGGGAGGCAAATATAGTTATATCAACATCACAGGAGAACTCAGGCAAAAAGCACTACTAGAAATAAAAAATTTGCTGCATAATGAGCAATGTTTCCATTCACCAGGAAGATACATTAAAATGTGTATATACCATGTTAATTTGTGTATAGTCTCCTATGAAGCCAGACTGACAGAATTAAAGGAAAACCTTTTGAATCCATCATCATAGTACACGTTAACACATTTGGCAGTAATCAGTAAACAGACCAAAAAAAAAAAAAAAATCAGTAAGAAAATAGAAAACGTGAAGAGTACAACTACCAAGCTTGAGCTAATGGACTTGACTTCATCTAATGTCTGGAAAAGACACACACATAGAACACTTGCTGGGGTTGATACACTGGACCATACAGCTGGCCTCATTATAGTTCCAAGGATCAGGATCTGACCAAAGTTTTTCGTTGTTGTTGTTTTTTCCAATTGTTTACCACAATGCAATTAAGTTAGAAAACAAAGCCAATAAGATAATTAGAAAAATCCATCCACTTGGAAATTTAATAACACTTGTAATCAACTTAAGAATCAAAGGAGAAAATATAATTGAAACGAGATGATTTCATCATTTCTTAACTTTTCACATCAAGCTCACAGGATACAGTTCTTGGAAGGAAATGATATTAAATGCCTTCAAAAAAATAAGGCTGAAAATAGAGCTGAGATCTAATATAAATCAAAGGCCCACAGATGTAGAAGAAAGGAAATTAAGAGAACAGAAATTCACAAAGTATAGAAACATACAAAAGAACAGATCAACAAAGCAAAATCATTATGTTTCAAAAGACGGTTCATTTTTTAAAAAGGCACAAGTAGAATGGAAATGAAAATAAAAAATAAAAAAAACATAGATGCTACAGAGAAAAGCAGTAAGAGAATGTTAAGAACAACTCTCAATACTTCAGAACTTTGATATAATGGGTGACTACCTACAAAGATGGAATTTAACAAAACAGATCCAAGGAGAAACACAGTCAGAATAATGTTTTACCTGTAAAAAAAAAAAAATGTGATCAATAGGCAACAATTTTACCACAAAGAAAACACTGAATTCAAATGGCTTTATCTGAATGCTACCATTCAGGAAACATATCATTCCATTCCTACACAGAAAAGGAAAGAAATCAGCTCATTTTAAGAGGGCAGAATAATCTTGATACCTAAACTAACAAAAACAGCCAGAAGAAACACTAAAGCCAATCTTCCTCATGAACATGGATATAAGAATTCTGAACATATATCCAACCAGATTCAACAATAAATAAAAAGAAATCACGATCAAGTTAGGTTTAACCCCAGGGATTCAATTGATTAATATTAGAATTTAATCAATAGAATTCACCACATCAATTAGGAAATTAAAAAGGAAAAGTCATATCTCAACAGAGTCGGAAAATAGAAGTTAACATCCATTTGTGACATTTAAAAATTTTCTTAGGATATTTTTAAAGCCATCACGATAAATAGAAAAATCTATTTCCTTAAATTTCCTTAATTTTCTTTAATAAAAGACATCTACCAAAGTCATCCAGCAAACATAACGCATGGAGAAACATGACAGGGTGAGGAACGAAGCTTAGATGGCCTCTCTATTACCCTTCCCTCCCTCCTCTTTAATTGTGCTGGGGTTTTGAACCAGCCTAATAGTAGATAAGAAAAAGAAACACATTTAAAGGGTGAGAATGTGAAATAGGACAGCCAATGTGAAAAATATGTATGGCAGTTCCTCAAAAACTTAAACAATTACCATATGATCCAATAATTCCACTTCTGGGCAAATATCCAAAAGAATGGAAAGCGGGGACATGAGAGCTCTGTGTCCACCCATGTTCATAGCATCATGCACAGTAAATCACACTGACAGATGAATGGATAAATCAAATGTGGTATAGGGGCACCTGGGTGGCTCAGTTGGTGAAAGGTCCAACTTTGGCTCAGGTCATGATCTCACGGTTCATGAGTTCCAGCCCGTATCAGGCTCTGTGCTGATGGCTCAGAACCTGGAGCCTGCTTTGGATTCTGTGTCTCATTCTCTCTCTGTCTCTCTGTCTCTCAAACATAAATTTTTAAAAATGTAAAAAAATTAAGAATTAAAATAAAAAAATCAAATGGTATAAACATACTTTGGAATATTATTTATCCTTAAATAGGAGGAAAATTCTGACACATGGTACAACATGGATGAATCTTGGATGACATTATGCTAAGTGAAATAAGTCAGACACAAAAGAACACTATATGATTCCACACCCATGAAGTACCAAAGTAGCCATATTCAGACACAGAAAACAGAATGAGGGTCACCAGGAGCTGGGCAAGGGGTTGGGGAGTTAGTGTTTAATGAGAACAGAATTACAGTTTGAGAAGATTAAAATGTTCTGGAGACGAATGTGGTGATGGTTAACCATGATGTAAAAGCACTTAATGCCACTGAGCTATCCAACTAAAAATTGTAAAAATGGTAAATTTTATGTTATGAATAGCTTACCAATTTTTTAAAAAATTTGTAAGGATTCCAAAGGAAGATAAAATTACGAAAACAAGATTTATATGTGGCTATTATGAGTGTCCATATATACTTCTCTCCTGAAGTCCGTTGTTTGTTTTTAGTTATGGTGCGTGAATGGAGATGTATTCCAGGGACTATATACAAAATTATCAGTTTCCTGAGAAAGAGCGAAAATCTTCCATTAGACTGTCAGAGGGGTGTGTGACTCACAAAAGTCTAAGACCATTCTGAGTGCCTGCTGCAGCTCTGAGGTCATCACACAAGCTGTGACCAGATTCTTTCCATCAGTAATGTCTCTGGACAGTCCCCTCTCACCACCCATCCTCCTTCTTCCCTCTCCTCACCCCCACACATCATGTTTTACTTTCATTCACACTCTGGTTGTTTATTTATGTACTTATTTTTTATGTTTATTTTTTTAATTTATGTTATTATTTATTTTTGAGAGAGAGAAAGAGAGAGAACACAAGCAGGGAAGAGGCAGAGAGAGAGAGGTAAACACAGAATCTGAAGCAGGTTCCAGGCTTTGAGTTGTCAGTGCAGAGCCCTGCATAGGGCTTGAACCCACTAACCTAGAGATCATGACCTGAGCCTAAGTCAAAGGCTTAACTGAGTGAGCCACCCAGGGGCCCCTCATTCATTCTGATTGCTTAAATTTAAAGTGAAGTATATTCTTAAATATTATTTTAATTCATTGGGTAAGTTTTAATTTTTTTAAGTGAAATGAGGCCATTACTTCACCCAAACTTCAGCCATTTTTCTATCACCCTTCATTTCCTGCATGATCATATTAAATAGGCCCAGCTCTAGTTCAGGACCTGGGGCCCAGAAAGGTCTCAAACACCTGTGGAATGATTAGAATCCTCCAAGTCCTGTTTTGTAAACTTAAATAATTTTCGACCAAATTTTCTTTCTGTTTCCATATCTATCTATGGGCAGAAATGTTAACAAATGAAAGACCCCCTGCTCAGTGCCCTGGTCTGCCCAGGTGGTGGTGAGGATTCATGGTAGGGAAATGGTAACAGAGAGCTGTCTCTTGAATGAAGCTTCAATTTAGGGGAAATCCAGGGAATGAAATCCACTCACATGAATTCTGAGACTTTCATTTTTAATAAAATGCTTTTACTTTTAGTTTTTAATGAAATGCATTGTTAAGTACTTGCATGAAATATCAAAAGGCATTTACATTGTTTGTTTTAATTCATCCTTCCTGGTTGCAGAAAGGGGATAGAAAAGATCTGCTGAAACAAAGCCCAGCAGAAGCCACATGGTGCAAGGCAGTGAAGGGCGTGGGGCAGGGGAACTTCCAGAGCTGGTGCCCATGCTCCAGGTGTTAGTAGTCATCATAGTTGACAATGGATCCGTGCCTGAAGCCATGGGAACTCATCGCAGAGTCCTCATCATAGTGACGCTGGTAGGAATCATAGTAGTCATGCCCATTCCGATCTCTGTTCAGCCAGTAGGTGATGTCATCTTCAAATTTCTGGAGAAAAAGAGCACAATAGAGAATGGAGTTAAGGACACCCACTCCCCCTAGACAGGTACATCTTACCTCTGCCTTTTCTCTGTGATGGCTTTTCTTCAATGATTAACAGCTCTAACCGACAGTCACCCTTCATTATCATATTCTGTACTCAGAGGTCAGTACAGCCAGCTAAAGAGTATGGATCTAAGTCCTTGAAAACTTCTGCCCTATGTGTTCTAAATATACCCAACACTTAAACATGGTTCTCTTTTTTAGTAAATGAAATAGACATCTCCCAAAGATAGCAATAGCTTGGCCTGACCTGCAGGCACTTTACACATCTTACTGTACTCATCTTATAGGCACTGCCTTCTCTCCCTGCCCTGTCCTGTGCCTGGTCCACTCTAGTGGACAGAGCAGACGTTCAAGAAATTAAGTCAGCCACCACGGGCGCAAGTTATAGCCATGCGTACTAGCAACGGTGACCATTTTATATCCGTGGTGCAGGTTAGAGCTTGCACGCTGCCCTTCTTCACTCCACAAACACTCCTTAAATGGACGCAGCCTGTCAGCCTTGTGCCCGGCACCGGAAAGCCACCCAAAGCAAGTTGGGACAGATTCCCTGCCTTCACGAAGCCTACAGTTGCTGAGAGACACATGAAGATAGGCAGCTGCAATTAGCAGGAATAAAAGGAAGAAGAACTGAAGTGATTGAGAAGCGCAGAAGGACTTTCAGGTTTATAACTGGGGTAACTGGTCTTTGATATCATTGCCTGTCTTAAAGGAAAGACTAATTCTTTGTTGGTAGTTGAAGGTACAGGGTGAGTGTAGATGCAAGCTCGCAGGTGTGGATGGGGACGACTTGGAGAGAGATTTGGCGTGAGACCAAAAAGGCAGGGACAAGAGAAGGCTGACGCAGGGAGGTTGCAAGGTATCCAAAAGTTTGGGTCCAATTTTTCTCAAAGTGTGGCCGGTGCACCCTTCTCATCTCTAGAGATGCTATGAAGTGCAAGTTCTCAGGCACCCGCCCGTACCACGTGGATGGAATTTTCCAGTGGCTGGGTTGCAGGAATCTATTCCATAAGACTGACAGAGAGTATGAGTATCTGAGAGCTCCCTGAGGCTGGGAGGTCCAGCCTTGGCCATGATGGTGCTCTCTGTGGCCACTCCCTGGGGTGATCAGTGGATCAGCCTTCACCATGCTGATGAGCACCATTCCGCCCCGCAATAATCTTGTTCCCTGTTTTTTCCCACTTTATAATCCTGTTTTGGGTTTTGGCTTAAAAGATGTTTTCAAGAAACAAAAAAAATGGTTTATGAATATAGGAATAACACACAATCATATTTACAAATTGGCATGTGGGAGTGGGGCAGAGAAAAAGGGGTATTACGACTCCATTGTAATCCCTACAGCTGACATTTTGACATTATTGCCTTTTAGTCTTTTCTGTGACTATTTAGTTACAATCTTATGGATCCTCACCCTTATTCTGGTTCTGTCACCAGTCTTTATTTTAGCTATTTCTCCACATTAAACTCTTAATACCCATTTTCATGGATTGCATCCAAGAAATGCAAGTTACAACAACTAACATGCCATTTTCATGTTCAAAAAAGTACTTTTTAAAAATTTTCTTTTTTAGAAATGTTTTTTATTTATTTCTGAGAGAGAGAAAGACAGTGTGAGTAAGGGAGGGTTAGAGAGAGAAGGAGACACAGAATCTGAAACAGGCTCCAGGCTCTGAGCTAGCTGTCAGCACAGAGCCCGACACGGGGCTCGAACCCACGAACTGTGAGATCATGATCCGACCCTCAGTCAGACGGTTAACTGACTAAGCCACCCAGCTGCCCCCTTTTTTTAAATTTTCAATGAGAATTCCAGGTGCTGCTGAAGACGCAAGAAGACTGGTGCTCTCCCACATGACTCACGGGAATGTGCAATTTGACAGTGCTTACAGACCCTTACCTAATTCTACCGTTAGCCCCAGTAACTCCACTGAAAGAATGGAATCCCAGGGAAGGAACAAACCGCACACGAGGATGCAAGTAACAGCACCTGTCCTTTGGCTTTTTGTGACTGTAAGTAAGTAAGTTCATTCATATTAAGTGCTTAGAATCCTGCCTGGCAGAGTCTGGATGTATGCGTTCAGCCTTTTGCACAGGGGGGAAAATAAATATTTTGTATTCATCAATGGTGTATTCATATATATATGAATGGAAAGGAAATTGTAATACAGTTACATGGCTGCATTTTATGCAACCTTTAAAAATAAGGCTTCTAAAGAGTTTAATTTTTTGTCATCAATCGTGGTGTTTTGTATAAATACACCCTCTATGCACAGTATGAATCTTGGGCCCATTCGGAAAAGTACTTCCAGCTGCCCTGCTTGAAGATGCTGCCCTCCATCTTTTGGGACCCCTTTCTGCCTGGGGGGCAGGATGAGTGTTCTCAATCACCACAGAGCTTCCAATCCAAGACTCCTGCTGGCTCTGCTGTGCTAGTCACTTTGCACACTTGCTTCCATGCAGTGGAATCCGTGACCTTAACGCCCTTCCCACAATACCTGTACCTGTTCCCCGCTGGGAGTCTTTGATTGTAAACATTATTTTTTTTTTGTCTTCGTGAATACATTGACTCACCCATCTACCTCCTGGACTCAGGAACAGAACCATCTTTTCCTGCAAATGCATTGCCAAATTTCCCTGAAAACGTGTGCAAAGACCACCTCTCTTTAAAAGTCACTTTTTAGGGGCACCTGGGTGGTTAAGTGTCTGACTCTTGATTTAGGCTCAGGTCATGATCTCAAGGTCATGGGATGGAGCCCTCAGCCAGACTGAGCATGGAACCTGCTTGGGATTCTCTCTGTCTCCCTTTCTCTGCCCCTCTACTGCTCGTGCTTTCTCTCTAAAAATAAATAGATATTTTTTAAACTCATTTTTGGGGTGCCTGAATGGCTCAGTCACTTAAGTGTCCAACTTTGGCTCAGGTCATGATCTCATAGTTTGTGAGTTTGAGCCCTGTGTATCACTCTGCACTGAGAGCTGAGAGCCTGGAGCCTGCTTCAGATTCTGTTTTCTTCTCTCTTTGCCTCTCCCTCTTCTCAAATATAAACAAACATTTTTAAAAAATTTTTAAAAAGTCACTTTTCATCTCTTTCCATTATTCTCATGGGTCTTTGCATCAATCTTATTGTCTCTGACATTTTTTGGAGGTAAAGATGCAAATGTTTTGGGGGGGGGGTTGTGAGTTATTTTAAAAACACCCAGGCAAAGACGCCTGGGTGGCTCATTTGGTTAAGCATCTGACTTCAGCTCAGATCATGATCTCACAGCTTATGAGTTTGAGCTCCGCATGCTGACAGCTCAGAGCCTGGAGCCTGCTTTGGATTCTATGTCTCCCTCTCTATCTGCCCTTCCCCTGCTTGTGCTCTGTCTCTCAAAAATAAATAAATGTTAAAAAAAAAAATTTTTTTTAAATTTCCAGGCAAAACGGTGCAGATAAGTGAAATCAGATTCTGGATGAATTTAAGTCCCAGGCATCTTGGAAAGTGACTTCTCTAGAACCCTGCTTCCCAACCATGTTGAGAGAGACTCCCTTTTGGGTACAGAGTGATGGAAAATTCTAGCTGATGTCCCTATATCCTGATAGTAATGTTATCCAATGCCTGGGTAGCACTTGGCAGGTAATGGGGGCTCCTACCCCCATTTTTTGGAGTGAATTTTGAAGACTAATTTTCTGTGCCGTTTCCCCAAGCCAAGCATTTCTCCCCATGTCGCTGCTCTGCAGGGAGCTAGGCCTCCAGGGGCCAGGAATACCCACCGCCTCATCAAAGCCCATATAGAGGAACTGCTGGTACCACTGCTGGACCTCCGGCCGTGACCGATCCCACAGCTGCCGCTTCTGGCGCTTCAGGCTGCTTAAGAATTCTTTTGCCTTGTTCTCGTCCACTGCCACTTTCGTCTTAGGTGGAGCAGGTGCTGAAATGATCAATTCCCCACCCCCCGAAGTACAAAGAATGATTTCTCTTCTTGGTGGGGTGAATTGCTAGTGAAGATGCCATACCCCAAGCCCACCTCACATTAGATGGTTTTGACTTTCAACTTCATTCATTTTTAAAAATTTTTTTAACATTTATTTGAGAGAGAGAGAGAGAGAGAGATGGCATGAGCAGGGGAGGGGCAGAAAGAGAGAGAGGGAAACACAGAATCCAAAGCAGGCTCCAGGCTCCTCTGAGCTGTCAGCACAGAGGCTGACATGAAGCTCAAACTCACAAACTGTGAGATCATGACCTGAGCCAAAGTCAGGTGCTTAACCGACCAAACCACCCAGGTGCCCCAACTTTCAACTTCATTCTTACATCACATGTGATGAAAGACAGCTGCCCATCATCACCTCCTTGCCCTTGGTAGAAAGCTCTCCATTTGAGTGCAGCCACATAAAGGGGCACAGGGAAGAGAAGAAATGTAGCCCATTCTCTGCAGCCACTCACCAGGCCTAGACCCCAGGCTGCTTGCAGGGGCTGGTAGCCTACCCCTTAGTCATTCAGGAAACAAGTGAAATGTCTAGGACCATGAAGGTATATGTTCCTTGCATGTGCAAACAACAGAGTGCTGTGCCTGATTAGGAGACCAGGAAGGAAAAAGAGCCAGAACCATGAGCTTGGAGTGGCCCGGCCCAGGTCGAGCCTGGCACTATGACAAGTTCCCACCGCGGAGAGCTGGAGCACACAGGGCCACCAGGGACCACCATCTGTGGGCCTCACAGATCATCAGTGGTTTAACTGAGTCAACGGGCCCTTGCTTTAACATGTGGCTTCTCCCAACATCTTCCTATTGTTGTCTCAACAATTCAAAAGGCTCCATTTCTGCAAGATGTGCTCAGGGGATGCAGCTGTGCCACTGGGTCTGCCCCTGCTCTCTGTCCCCTCATCTGTAAAACCGGGCTGATGGTACCCATCTGGATGTTGTTATGAAGGCTGCACAGAATAATGGGAGTGAGGTGCTCTATGTGTTCCTTGGTCACATGGATAAATATCAGTGGATTTGTTTCCTCACTTCCTGCTCATCTGTGTTTCCCTCAGGGCCTGTTACACCTTGTTGTACACAGCAGGTGCTCAATATGTGTTTCTAGGTTTGGCTTGAATAAAAGCTGAGGATGTACCCTAGGACTCATGATTATCTTGGTGATCTGCTTGCTCCCATCTCTGACAGGATGGCCTTTCAAGAGCTTCTGTCACCCTTGGTGTCCTGGAGGAGCGGCTGCCCAGCACAGAGATCGGGGATGAGCCTGGGCTTCATGAGCAGCTGGAAATGCTGGGGAAAATGCTGGGAGCCCCTTCAGGAGCCTCCTGCCTCTGAGGGGAACCCTCAGTGCTCAGCATCCAGGGGATTTCTGGGGGTCTGACTGGGAAGCATGTGAATAGTACTTGGGAGCCCCACATGGTCCAGGAGCGGGCTTCAGACTGCCAGAATCTCCCATTAACTGGGGCAGAGTCAGGGTGGAAAAGGAATATAAGGGATCAAAGGTTCACATCAGAAATGTCACACTTCTAAATTTCTGAGAGATGGACAACTTCTTCCTTCTACAGGCAAAGATGACAGTTCCAAGGGAAGATGGCCTTTATAAGACCACAAGATTGGTCCAACTGATCTACCAGATTACGGTGGGCCTGGGACTCATATTGTATGGCTCCCAACCTGTTGTGGTTCGACAACATTTTGCTGCCATCTACCACATGCATTGTAGGAGTATTTTTCACAACAGGTGTTACTAACAAACAGTTTTTCTGTTCAACCCTGCCCTCAGGGGCTAATTGGATATAGAATACTATTCTGTGTCTATTCCACCAATGGAGGTTTTACATGCTCTAAAGGATATGCTCTAAATTTAGATACGTGCTCTACAGGGATCATGGTTCTAAGATAAACAACATTCAATTAACACAGTAGCACTGTTTCTTTTATCTTTGAGTCCACACTGACAGCTTTCAGAAAAACAATTTTCAACCATTTACTGGCAATAATATTTATTCAATAAAATACCACACACCCACCCACAGAGTAAGACCTTCAGATCTGCCAAACTTTTAAGGAGTAAACACTTCTGATTTTCCAAATACAAGTCCTCAGTGAGCACATTCAACATTGCCGTTCATTGCACTCCATTAAGAATGCAGCCCTTATCTGTGTGGGGTATACTTACCTTCCTGCTTTTGAAGCATCAGCTTGAGTTTATTCCCACTTATGCCACCTAATGGAATGAAAACAGAAATCATGTCAGAGTTGCACTATACCCTTGAAATTCTCAAGTACAAAAATCACAGTTGGAGAAAAGTACCACATGCCCCCTCTTGACTTGGCAACTTGGTGGTATCACAATATTTGATATTTGCTGCATTCTCTGTCATGCAGGACAAACAATTCAGGCTGCTCATGGCTCAAACTGGTGACAATGACAATGGCTGCCCAAGGGCATTACGATTTCAGATATTCCCTAGGAGAAGTGACATTGTTCTTTCATCTTCTTACATCTTATTATGAGGGCCAGCCATCTGTCATGTGTACCTTTCTGCAGACTTCTGCGTCCCTTTTCATGGTATAGTAAATAAAATAATGCCTCCCACCCTCCAATTCATATCCACCCAGAACCTCTGAATGTGAACTTATTTGGAAATAGAGCATTTTGCAGATGTAATCAAGGGCTTCAGTTAACTGTGAAGGAAGTTGGATCATGTCGGATGGATGGAATCTAAAATCCAATGGCTGGAATCTTTGGAGGAGGGGGTACAGAGAAGGCAGCCACATGAGGACAGAGGTGAACAGGCACCATGAAGTTTCATTGTCACGAGCTGAGGAATGCACCTGAGCTCTTTAAAAATCCAGCCCAGGGGCGCCTGAATGGCTCAGTCAGTTAAGCGTCTGACATCACTCAGGTCATGATCTCACAGTTTGTGAGTTTGAGCACCGCGTCAGGCTCTGTGCTGACAGCTCAGAGCTTGGAAACTGCTTCAGATTCTGTGTCTCCCTCTGCCTTTCCCCGCTTTCACTTTATGTCTCTCTCTCTCAAAAATAAGCATTAAGAAAAACTTTTTTAAATCCAGCCCAGTTTTGTAAGCTTACCTGGACCCTCTTTCAATTAGGCATTATTTATATTGTTTGCTGACATTTTTATTCAATTCTAAAAGTACTTCTAACCAGCCTAAGCATTTTAATAGAAAATCAAATGACTAGCTTGGTAGGACACCCTCCTCTGCCTGGTGAGCTGATGCGAGGACCTGTAGATGTCTCTCATCCTTATGTGCTATGTGTAGGTACGAGGCTTGTCCTGGGAAGGGATATCCAAAGCCCCTGGAAGAAAAGCCCGGCCTCCAAAGTAGTGAGCAGAGCAGAGCATGTTCAAGTGTAAGGAGCTGGTCTGGCCCCAGGATGAAGGTGGTGATGTCTACCTTTTAGGCAGGTCCTTAACCTCCCCATCCATGGATGGGCCCCAAGGCCTGTGTTTGTACCTGCAAAGGTACAGTTTTCTGGGATTAGGAGTGATATCCTTTACCAGACTCTCGAAAGTGTCTGGGACCCAAATAAGATTAAGAAGCCCTGCTTAAAGCATTTACTATGTCATTAGGGGGAATAAAACACATCTGTGACCAACTGGCTGCCCATAGCTGAGTTTTTCCTGCAGACATCTTTTAGGAGTGCATCCAGTATTTGCAAAATTTGAATTTGAACATCTCTGGGCCCAAGTCACTCAGCACACCCCATGGCCATCAAGAGCCATTTTACCTATTAGCTAGCTCTCTGTAGGTATCTGAACTTGAGCACTACCCAACTGCCTTTAGAATAGGTATGCCAGCCAGCGGGCCGTGATTGGGAAGAATCTCTAGGAGCTGGGTTTTTGTTTTGTTTTGTTTTGTTTTGTTTTGTTTTGTACATCATACATTTATTAGCAAAAATCCTCTCAACTCCAAAACTGGGCACAGGGATTAAAAGTAAAAATTCATTGTACTAGTAGGGACACCTGGGTGGCTCATTGCTTAAGCAGCCAACTCTTGATTTCGACTCAGGTCATGATCTCACGGTTCATGGTTTTGAGACCTGCATCAGGCTCTGCACTGACAGCATGGAGCCTGCTTGGTATTCTGTCTCTCTCCTCTCTCTCTGCCCCTCCCTAATTGCTCTCTATATCTCTCTTAAATAAAAATACACTTTAAAACACTCATTGCACTATTTAGTAAAGTATTACTGGTAACTTTCACTAAAAATGTACAAACTTTCTGAAAAATTTACCAATCCTTCAAATGATTTGGTTACAGATATTTATAATGTGTACATTTAATAACTTTTTATAATATTTATTTATTATTTTTGAGAGACAGGGCATGAGTGGGGGAGGGGCAGAGAGGGAGACACAGAATCTGAAGTAGGCTCCAGGCTCTGAGCTGTCAGCACACAGCCTGACATGGGGCTCAAGCCCACGAATTGTGAGATCATGACCTGAGCTGAAATCAGACAACCAACTGAGCCATCCAGATGCCTCTATAAAATGTACATTTAATATGGTACATTAACTGATACAGTGGAATATGTTGGAGAAAAGGAGTCAGCAAATGGTTTCCAGAAACATCTGTTGGAAATAGATTAGGGCATAATTAGGTTTCCAATACCTAGGCAGCCCCTCCAAAGATGGGAGGAGTCACCCCAAGAGGTTCCCCATCAAGACTAAATAAGCAGAGATGAGCACTTGACGAGGCTCCTATAGAGGGGATTATTTAATTAGATTGGAATGGGACTACTTAGAAAGGCTGTACCTTAAGAGTCATCCAACCTTAACAGTCAGCAAAGAAATCTATGAACACATTCGCCAAAGCAGATAGATATGTTTCTTGGCACCAATATTAGCATTCATTAATATTTTAACATTTGTCCCTCTCTACCAATAGCGTGGCACACACAGAATTAAGCATCATGGCTTCATCTGTTTGCCTTCTGTAAAAGCACTTAACAGTAAACGAATGAAACGTGGCCTGATGCGGAAATAGACACTGGATGTTGGCGTGTGCACTGCTGCTGCAATTTCTTGCAGCAAATGTGTCACTACTGTTCCAGAAATGAGAGCCTCACCAGACCTCAGCTCTACAACAGAAAAGCATGGAAAAATCCTAAATTATGAATTATTAATAGTTGCCACTGTGCCAATTACTACAAACTGAACTATAAATATCAATCCATATAATTGGACACCACACTAAATTTGCTGGAAGAAGAAAATAAAGAATAACTGGATAGCTGTGAATTTTTTCCTATAGTATGGATTTTTTTTTACTCCTACATCATCAGTCATTCTTTCTAGACGGTGATAATAGGCACTTCTGAATTTATTCAACCTGACACTAGATATCCCAGCAGACGCAGAATTGTAAGATGTCCCTTTGAAGGTGCTAACTATTAATAAATTGCTCAAGAAGGAGCAATGATCATTTTCTCCATTTAACGTTTCCAGGTCTCATAAGGATCCACCTTTGAGATTTGACGTAGATGTAAAGATTTTCATTTTATGTCATAAAAACTTTCACATTCCAGCTCAATGATGATAATATTTTAACTGACACTTTTCACTAGTTCTTGGTACAAATGAAATAAAATACAGGTCTGAAAAGAGATGGCTTATAGCAGGTGCTCACTCGCTTTAATTCAGATGTGCTTCTGAAAATGGAAGGAACAGAGGAGGTGGGGCGGATCCGTCATGTAATGGGAAATTATTAATGAGGCTCCCTTGTGGTTGTAACTTAGAAGGAGAGCAATTCTCCTGACTTGAACAGGTCCACTGCTACTCTGGCCACCTGGGGCTCTGACCTCAGGGCTCCTACAGCAGGCTTCTCCACCACCCCCACCACCCCCCATTACCACCAGGAGTTTGGTTTTCCATACCTGTTCTGAAAAAGCAAAGCACAGTAGCTGAGCAATCAAGAGTGTCTTCCATTGTCATTAGCCAGTGCCCAGCCACTCTGTGGTGGGCAAAGCACCTGTCTCAGGGGCTTGGGCAAGCACTTCATTCCTTCCAGCCCCAGTATGCTGAGCAGATCTGGGATCACAATATGCCTTGCAGAGATGTGAGGGTCAAAGTTGCTCATGCATGCTCAAGGCCACTAGTGAACCATAAATGATCCTCAAATGGAAGGTAGTATTATCAGGACAAAACCCTAAGGTAGGTCTGTGGATTCCCAGGGTTCAGATGCCTGTACATCCACCAAACCTCTTCATTTGGGGGTATGTATGGATATACTCATTTTATAGGGAACAAACCTGGAATTTTCAACTCATTCCCTGAGGGCGCCATGAAGCACAGAAGGCTAAGCATTTCTCCTTTAAGAGCATTTCCCCCATCTGGGTTGTGAATCCTGCCTGAAGTTTTGCAGACCTGGAACTTGACTCAGTTGCCAAGTGCAACTGATGCCTGGAAAGGCATCTCCACAGTGATGCATTCTGGTTCCCCTCAGTCCTCAAGGCCCCAAAGCTCCCCTTACCCCTCTCCCCCTTATATTAGGACCAAATCACTTCTTGCTTCTCCATGGGACCTTGGTCCTCACTCTTTCCCAAGGTGACCGCACTTGTCTGAGACCTGTCCTTGACCCTGATACTCTGTCCGCCTGCTGAAGCGCGCCACTCCCACTTCTGCAAGAGCAAAACCCTATTACCCATTGGCACTTGCTGGGGCTCATGGTCCCTCCGTCTTCACTCCATCACGGATCTCCCTCCCTGGCGCCCTAGCGTTGCCGACATACCTGGGCCCAGGCACAGCAGCAGGAGTAACGCCAGCGCGGTCATGGCCAGGACAGTGGGCCGCGCGGAGGAGGCGACCATGGCTGCAGCTGGAGGGCAGGAGAGAGACGCGCACCGAGAGCCGCCGCACGAGAGGACTAGGCGCACAAGGGCAGGGACGCGTGCAGTCGGGCACTCCCTACATTTCAGCCGGGGCGGGACCTGCCGGGCGGGCACCGTGCCAACGGGCCAGGAGCCAAGCCTCTGAGTCCAGCTCCCCACCCACCGCTCCACCGGGGCGCCTCCAAGCCGGGGAGCACGCGATGCTGGGGCCACCGAGAGGCGCCCGCGCCAGGGGAAGATATGGGGGAGATGGACTACCTGATCCCAGTCCTGGTTTCTCTCCACCTTCCCTTCTCGCCCAGCCTAGCTCTCGGACTGCTGGCTCTTCTCCTTTGCACTCCGTGAGAATATTTCCCTTCCTCTCCATCTCCCTCCCTCCTGGGCGCAGGGCCCTGCTCCTGCCTTGGCTTATAAAGTGGCCTTTGGAATTTCCTTAATTCCCCACGCTGCGCTTAAAGATGCCTTTGGCGGTGCTGTGTTTTGTGGTATTTTGAAAGATTCCACAGTCTGGGTTCAGAACTGCAGTTCAGGAAAACTTTGCCCCCCAAACTACTCTGAAAAGCCTTTCAGAAACCAGGAATCTGGTGAACTTGGTAGGTGTTCCTCAGGACACATGGGTCCCTTTGTGTGCCGGTAGTCTGTGCACACTTAAAAGATACTAAAGGGAGGCCCCAAAGAGACCCTGTAAGTGCCACCCTAGTATCAGGCCTCTGCAAACACAGAGGACACATACTGGCTGGTGTGGAGTGGTGAAGGAAAACAAACACAAAGTTGTCTCAACTGACTTTGAGCAGGTCGCCTACATTTACAAAATGACCATAATGTGAAATTACCTTCAGGGGCCCTTCCAACCTAAGATCTGCTCTGAACTCAGTGGATTGGTTCTCCATCTGGTTCCTCCCTTTTTATGCCCTCCACTGGTCAGTGCCTACCAACTCACCATAGAATTCACTCTCCATGTAATGCTGCTGAATTTCCCCAGCAGGCAATGAGAAAGAAGTAGGTTAGTTTTGAGCTAGAGAAGGCAGATAGTGGCTGAGGAAAGAAAAAGCATGAAGTGTGTCAGAGAATCACAAAAACTTGGGCTGCCCCAGCTTCCCAAGGTGCCAGAGAGCCTGAAAGGTAGGCAAGAAATGCTCTCAAGCCCTCTAGGGGAGGGGGGGCGGGCGGAGAAGGATGAAAAAGCAACAACAACAAAGGTGATGTATTTACTTTTGTGCAGAGAGGAGAAATTTACTATCAGGAAGAAAACCAAAGCAAAGAAAAAGCCAGTGTTCTGTTTGGTTTAGAACATACATTAAAGATGATCATTGTAATCTTTCCTTTCTTGTGGAAATCAAAGCCCCCACCCAATGAGAGCCCTTCATACTCCAAATCTCCAAAGGAATTTGCTTCTAATATAACATTTACATGTCCCCTCTTAACTAGGGTCTGATCAAAAGTGAGTTCACGCAGTCAGTACAGACAGCGGCCACCTCTCTGGACAGTTTTCCTCTTCTGTCTTTTGGACACAGACCTACATTTCATCCCCTTACCCATCCCTCCCCATTTTCAGCTGAAAAGGCAGAGCAGTGATTTTTTTCTTAATTCCAAGATCCTAAGGGGAAAAAAGTCTGCTTTAATCAGCTCTTACAGTTGTAGCATTTAAGACAAAGTGAATATTGAATCCTAATTTTTTATGAGCCTGTATTTTTTAAAAAACCTTGATTACTGTTTTAATGTAGAATTGGTAGGGCAAATCAAGGGCCCTACAGAAAAAAATATTTTAAGATATTTGCCATAGGTGAGAAGAACATGTCCTGAGATCAGGCTCTGATTCCTTTCTTCAGAGAAGGGATGGAGGAGCTCACTCGTGTGCCACTTCTAGGCTGCTCCAGCCAACGTCCTGGGGGACCAGGGAACAGCAACATCTTTCACAGGGAGGGCTGTGGTGAGAAGACATTGCCAGAAGAGTAGGCTGAAGCTCTGTGTACACCTTCTACCCACACAGATAAACATGATCATGTTTACTTGAGAAACAAAAATGGTTTCCAGAAGATTTTATAGTTCCCGGATAAGTTATGACTGATTTCTCCAGCTCTGCCAATCATAGAGACAGCCCCTTCAGGTAAAAATTGAAATATAACATAATACAGAAAAGTGTGCAGATCAAATATACGACATCATGATCAAGAAACAACATTATCACCCCTCCAGGGGCCCTTCCCTATCAATCCCCAAACCATAACTAATACGCTGTGATACATTGGTTTGAGGTCATCTTTTTTGTTTGTTGTTTTGTTTTAGTTAATTTATTTATTTTGAGAGAGAGAGAGAGCAGGAAAGGGGCAGAGAGAGATAAGAAGAGAGAGAATCCCAAGCAGGCTCTCCACTGTGAGCCCGGAGCCCAATGCGGGGCTCGATCTTATGAACTATGAGATCATGACCTGAGCTGAAACCAAGAGTCAGACACTTATCCGACTGAACTGCCCAGGCGCCGGAGGCAATCTTCTTTGAAAAAACATTTCACTGGTATTTCATTTTCATTTCTTTAAATATTAAAAAAAAATCTCAAAACAAAGACTTATGGTTATCAACAGGAAGATACTGATTAGTAAAAAGAGGTATTAGAGGCTTCGGATTCATAACTGCCAATTTAATTCAGTTCATTTCTGTGCAGTCTTGTCTCAAAATGCTCACTGGGCATTTGAAATGTCTTCAGCTCTGATATTCTTATCCGCATTCCACTCTGGTGGTAACGTCTTATAAGAATTGATAAAAGAGCACACAACTCTCTACACTACTGGCCCCACGGAGTCCTTTGTTCACCTTCATTCATGCCTGGTCCAGGGTGCCTTGGATCCTGCCTTGGAGACTTTTGTGTCTCTCCCACATCAACAAGGAGTAGGTCAACTGTAGAGGCAGGCTGAGAAGGAAAGTCAACTTTGATTGGGCCCCAGGGGCTGTTGCTGCAGCTTCTTCACTAAGAGATTCCAAGGTGTGATGGGAATGTCCATGTTCCTCACAAGGTAAACAGCCCTTTTAACTAATACTGTTTGGTGGCAGGGAGCCACCAACTGTCTTCCTAGGGGGCTGCTAGACTCAGGTGCTTCAGCTGGAGACACTGTGTTGGTTCTTGATATCAAAGTTCCTTTCCATTTGTTTATTCAGAAGTACACATGAAATACCAACTATATATGAGGCATCATGAAAAGTCCTTTTCTTCCTGTTCATTTAACTTGGTCATCCCATGTGCATGGCTCTCCTTTCTCCTTCTGCAACAGCTGGTGCCATTCTTTATTCCACTGTTACTCAAACTAGGTCTAAAAACCCCAAGGTGCCTGTTAATGAACATTTCTAGGTCAGAAACTCCCTAGAATTCTGATCTAGTCAGTTTTGAGTGGGACCCAGTTTATTTATTTATTTTGGGATAGAGGGAGAGCACAGAGAAAGAGAGAGAATGAGATCCCCAGCAGGCTTCACGCCATCAGCATGGAGCCCCCTGTGGGGCTCAATCCCATGAATCAGGAGATCATGACCTGAACCGAAATCAAGAGTAGGATGCTTAACCCACTGAGCCACCCAGGAGCCCAGGAGCTGCACTTTTTTTTTTTTTTTTTGTAAGAAGTGGCTCATAGGGAATGCTAATGTGTGCAGTGCTCACATTTGTTCAGAGACACTCAGCTTGCTGGGGTCTCCACCAAAACTCACCTGCTTCTCTCAGTCCTTGTCTGGCCTCACCATCTCAAACAGTGTACACATTCTCCCCCCTGCCTCTACATTTACCAAAGCATCCCCAGTGGCTTCTTTTCTGCCATTTGGCACAGCAGCTAAGAGTACGGGCTTTGGGCTCTAGTTCCTCCTGTTATGTACTCGCCTTATATGTAAATCATGTGTCCTCTCTGGTTCTGTAGCATTCGAGATATATCATCAATATGTTGACACCAGAAATCACATGTACAGAGCCTAGTATGTAGTAAGCACCTCAGAACTATAAGCAATTGTTATCTTTACAAGAACCTCCTTTTGATATCTCCACTCTAGTTCTCTGTGTGTTTTTTCCTCACCCTGCAGCCAAGGCCAGGAACTCAGGCGGTCCCCAACCACCCCATATCTCATATCACACATTACCAGAGTGACCATCTCCTTTTTTTAAATTTTTTTATTCTTTTGAGAGAGAGAGAGAGATGGAGAGAGAGAATCCCAAGCAGGCTCTGCACTGTCAGCATGGAGCCTGATGCAGGGCTTAGTTTCATTAACTGCAAGATCATGATGTGAGCTGAAATCAATAGTTGGGTGCTTAACTGATGAAGCCATTCAGGCACCCTGAGATTGACATTCACAAACAGCCATGCTGTGTCCTCCACCTCAAAACTCCACAGGGATCATCTTCCTCCCTCTCTTTCTCTTAGTTCACAAGAAATAAGCATCTAGAAGAGCATGTTAAATGACATCACTTGGGGAGGGTGGCAGAAGCCTAATGCACACTGGGGAATTCTACAGGACAATACAGCATGGGAAACAGGGCAGCATCTGACATGTGACTGCCATTCATTACAAGAGGCCTTAGAGACAAATCAACTGAATGCTATGTGGGACCCAGGGTGACTCTGAGTCAAACAAACCAAGAACAAGAACTCAATATGAGATATTTGATAGGAGAAATTTGATTACAGAATGGTTTTCTTATTAAGGTCATTACTTTTTTTAGGTATGAAAATGGTTTTATAGTTACTTAAAAAATTTTTTTAAATGTTTTATTATTTTTGAGAGAGAAAGAGACAGAGATGAGTGGAAGAGGGACAGAGAGAGAGGTAGACACAGAATCCAAAGCAGGTTCCAGGATCTGAACTGTCATCACAGAGCCCAAGGGGCTTCAACTTGCGAACTGCAAGATCATGACCTGAGCTGAAGTCAGATGCTCAACTGACTAAGCCACCCAGCTGCCCCTATAGTTACTTTTTAAAGCCCTTAACTGTTGAAACTGCCTACCTGAATATTCATAAAATGATGTATGGGACTT